TCAGACAATTAAAAAACCTTATAAATGCTCATTAGTTAAAATTAGAGATTAATTTATAATTTCCGGAATAAGACAGATTGGCTTAGTATAACTAAACAAAAGAAATGTTTGTCCCTATACAAAAATGTTATTATGAATCTACCCTCAGTGGGGCTTAAAGGAGCCCCTCTGGCTGTGGAGAGAGGTTTGTGCTGGTCTGACTCCTTTATGTCTGAGGCATTGTTTGTATCAATGGCATGTTTTGGTGCCTTGCTGCCTAAGATGAGGGGTATAGCCTGTGACTAGGGCCCATGAGCAATGTATCATAACTTTAAGAGTTCAACAGTCACAGACTTAAGAGAAAAGTAGCCTTACTGAGAGACCAGGGCTTAGGTGAACTGCCTTACATGCCATCTGATGCTGTCACAAAGAATAAGATTGGAGAATTATCACTAGCAGGATCCAAGGCTTACCTGCAAGTCCCGGTTTTTTAGATTGCCCAGCCAGAAAGCCTCTCTACAATTGTTGAGGGTGAGCATAGCTTTGACTCTGCAAACTAACAGTTCCAGGGTCTTTTTGAGCAGAGGCACATGTTGTGTGAGTCTCGTGTCCTGGTGAATCTGAATGGAGATAAATAACATCCATCTTTTGTGAGTTTATCATCATGCCTTCATATTTCTTATAGAAACCTTTGAATACTGAATAAGGACATAAGCCCCGCCAATATGGACCAACAGTATGTTCCATCGAACAGGAATAGCTTGGCAGAGTAATCCAAAGACAATGGCAGCTAAATAATTCAAAGCCTAGAAGACATACCACTACCACCTCTGGTTCCTCTTCATAACCTCTTGCTGGCTGATCATCAATGAATTTACCTAAAATGTTCTTGAATATATATTTTACTGATATTAAACAATAGAGTAGCCCTATTTAGCTAAGAGAATTCCTTAAAAATTCACTGTGCAGCCGTGAAGTGGAACTTGCAGTGAGCAGAGATTGCACCACTGCACTCCAGCCTGGGCTACAAAGCGAGACTCTATCTCAAAAAAAAAAAAAAAAAATTCACTCTTCAGGACCTTACACATTTAGAACCAGAAGAGGAAGTAAGTAACAGAAACTGGACTCAAGAATCATTTGGTTTGCCAGCGACTGCAGAACTCTAGGGTTCTATGTTCATTCAGACAAAACGTGACAATACCTCATTAACTATAAGAAGGCTTCAAGTGGAAAAATCCTTTAATGCTAAGATGTTCTCAAAAGACACAGATGCATTCCTTGAAAGTAAGTAGCACAGATGAAAGCCTCTACAGATGGCTGCTTTAGAGCCACCTCCTGTCTCCTGCAGGATCATCACTTACATCACAGTCCTGTCGCCTAGGGGACTTTGCAGAAGTAAACATATACCAGCATTCTATTCCTCTCACCCAAGAAGTTTCTAGAGGAAAAAGAGCTTTGGAGTTTGAATCAAATTTCAGATGCAGAGATTCCCCTCTAGAGGACTGCCCAATCTCAAGCAGCAACTAAGGATTTGCTCTGAATAAACTGCCTTTGGACAGACACAGTCCCAGATATAAATGAAGAAGGACGGCAGCCCATGGATCTCCCAATAGCAACTGCAGATTAAGCCAACAGGCAGGCTGCTGATAGGATCTGCTCCCCTTCTTACCTTGGAATGCCCACACAGGTGATGAAGCAGCCTTGTGTCCAACTGGAAGGTTTCTAGTAAGCTCAGAACATCTTCCTATAACCAATAAGTTTATAAATGCTCTATGAAATGTACTGATTTCATTTTAGATTCAGTATACCCTTGGAATCAAAAGCTCCAAAGAGGATAAACTCTGCAGGTTCCAGCCTATGCTGATAATCATCTTAATTTGCCTCTCAAATAGGAGGAATAGCAGCTACCGCTTATTCTCAACTCTCCCATTTCTGTCCCTTGTATAAATCTGAGAGTTATAAGACCTGCATTTTAGTTTTACATAGGTTACCATGTCTCAGTTTTCCCATCTGCAACATTAGGATAAAATACCACCTTCCTTTTCTCTTTCAGGGCTATGAGGGACCAACCAAATATGGTGAGTGGTTTGTTCAACTTGCTAAGTATGTAAAGGAAATAATCTGATTCCATCCTTACTTCATCACTCTAGCCCTGGGTGCCATTGGCTAAAAAACTGTCAAGAATGTTCATTACCACAGCAAAGGGTTTTATGACACAAAGGAACTTTTTTTTTTTTTTAAATCATTTCTGAGTATACCTACAGAAGCATAATGGAATAAGCAAATGACACACTGATACATGAGGACCTGAGAGTGCAGTAGCACAATAAAATCAAGCTAAAAGGAAAACCACTGTCGGATCTGGAGAAGAAGTAGAAAGGTGGGTTTGATCCAGAGTGGGTCTGAGGAGTTCAGCCTACTTTGGAATATTCAGTCCTATTTGGGGATCTCTGGCTATAGCTGAAGTGGACCAGAGGAACCCAGGTAGAACACTCCCAGCCTCACCCAGGAGTCACCATGGACATAACTTCTGAGCAACTCTTCAGTGCATATCTTTGTTCTCTGCTCTTAGCTCTTACCCGGTGTTTTCTAAAACTGAAGTCTAGGAGCGGCATACATTGCTTCAGAAATGCTTCCACAAAGAGACGTCCGTACTGAAGAAGAGAGACACACTGTTATCTCTAGCTGAGGTATCTCACTGAAAGGCCCCTTTCTGAGGCAGAATAGCCTCATTCTGCCCAAGGGTTTTATTTTCTTATTTATATATATAAAAAACAAATTGGGAATGGTCCAAAAGGTTTATTTGGAGAATGTAACTTAACACAAAAATCAAATAGGCCTGTTAACTAAGCCCCAGAATTAGGCAGACTTACCTACCACAGATACAGTGGATGGAAAGGGAACTTGCTCAGCTTAGGAGTGAGAGCATAGAGGAGTAGAGGGGAGCTGTATCTGAGGATAACTTACTCCCAAGAGGGAAAAACTGGGTAAAGCTGAGGAAGCATATGACCAATTTCTAAACTTCCCAATCAGATAAATCACTCCTCTTTCCAACTCGTTCAGCTCCCACACTGCGCAAGGGTGGAGTAAAAAGGGAGAGAGTGACCAGCAGATAACAAGAATGGGGCACCATCCACTTGGAAGGAAACTTCAGGAGTGGGGAAGTAGCATTCTCCCCATAACATTCCGACTGGACTTCCCATCAAATCTAGGGCTAATACAGGCTATTCCCAAGAAAGAGAAGTTTGGCAATTCTCAGGATATCAGATCCCACATTTGTAAGGCCACCACATAGACTTTAAAGAAGAATCATCTACTCCTTCCTCCCTTTTGCCTGGTAAGGAATGGCAGGGAAGGTAACTACTGCTCCTAAACTCAACTGCCCTGAAGCCATTCCTCCTAGTACTAAGATTCTTACCAAAAGTTTTCAAATTCATAGGAAAACTGGCTTCTCCAATCATCCAACTAGTGTGGGAAAATTTATCCATTGCCTTCCCTAAACTGGCACAGATTCTGGAAACTCTGGCTTGTGGGCAAGAAACTGAGCAATTTATCTTAGCTGAGGTCCTCTCTAGAGTGATCCACAGGAAGAATATGAAACAGGGCCCAGTAAATCTCTCACCTTCAAACATACATGCAGAACAGGATGACTGTCAAATACCTGGAGAGGTGAAAGACAAGAAACCAAGGCTGAGATCTGCTCCTTTGAGCACTCCAGCCTGTTTCCCACTGCGCAAAACACAGCTTTGGGTTCTGTAGAGAATACTAAAATGGAGGAATGTCAACATTTAAATTAATATTACAAAGCAGAATAAAGTAATGATCACAACTGGAGTTCAAGAAAAGGAAGAGAAGAGCAAAGAGAAATAAACTGATTCCAACTGGAAGTGTTCAGAAGATGGCATTATTAGAGGTCCAAAACCTTGATCTGAAGACTTAAGAAAGACTGGATGAGGCTGGGCATGCTGGCTCATGCCTGATATCCCAGCATTTTGGGAAGCGGAGGCTGGTGTATCACTTGAGCCCAGGAGTTCGAGGCCAGCCTGGGTAACAGAATGAGACCCTGTTTCTATAAAAAATAGAAAAATTAGCTGGGCATGGTGGCATGTGCCTGTAGTCCCAGCTACTCCAGAGGCTTAAGTGGGAAGATTCTTGAGTCTAGGAGATTGAGGCTGCAGTGAGCTGTGATCACCCTACTGCATTCCAGCCTGGACAACAGAGTGAGATCCTGCCTCAAAACAAAAACAAAAACAAAAAGACATGAAAGAGACGGAAAGGAGAGGCAAGGACATTCTAGGCTGGGGGAACAAGCTGAGCAAAACCACAATGGAGTCGGTGAGAGTACAGTGTGTTTACAGGAGAACGAGGGCTTTCAGGGTTAGAAGAGGGAATGTGTGCTCAGATCACAGAGGACCCAAGGCAAGGTGAAAAAGTGAAGAAATTACAGATGGAAGGAGTCATTAAATAGTATTGTGGCATAAATAAAAGGAAGAAAGGAAGAGGCAAAAAAAAAAAAATGCCTAGTGAGAAAAAGGGTTATCCAGGACGGGTACGGGGACAAAGGAAGAAGACAATTCAGGGAGAGCAGGCCCCAAGGAAGAGTGGGAAAAGGAGCAAGGACAGTCCATTTTGGAAGCCAGGACACTTGGTTTCTGCAGTTATTTGGTGAGATGGGTCAAGGAGCCTCCATACTCACCTTTATCAAGTTGATGAGGATACTGAAGTCTCGAACAGCCATGTTCCAGTAGAGGAGCTTCTCTTCATGAATCTGGGGCAGCCAAATATATGGGCACCTCTGAGTCATAGCCAGATACTTTCCTTAGTATATTCCCACTAAGATATAGTTCTTGAATTACTAGCTATACAGATATTTAAGCCAATTATCCTTCCCAAGAGATGTAGCAACCAGTGCATCCACAAGATGGTTCTGAGGCCTGCACATGTTGTGGTAACATTAGAACACCTCATAGAGACAGACATTCTAAAAAGTTTCCTCTTCAGCAATTCCCAAGTAAGTAAAAGCCTTTGCAACACGTACTGGCCATCAGACCAAGTGTAGTGGTTCATGCCTATAATCCCAGCACTTTGGGAGGCTGAGGCTGGAAGATTGCTTGAGCCTAAGAGTTCAAGACCAGCCTGAGCAACATGACAAAACCCTGACTCTACTAAAAATAGAAAAATTAGCCGGGCATGGTGGCGTGCACCTGTGGTCCCAGCTATTCAGGAGGCTGAGGTGGGAGGATCATCTGAGCCCAGAAGGCAAAGGTTGCAGTGAGCCAAGTTTGCATCACTGTACTCCAACCTGGATGTCAGACTTAGACCCTGTCTCAAAAAGAAAAAGAAAAAACATATATTGGCTGTAGCTTCTCTGCTTCCCTATGCTAGCTCTTTACTTGTGTAGCTCTGTTCTGGTTAGCAGGCTGCCAAGATCCACAGTATCTCAAACAGACTGGCTTA